ATATTTTTAAATGCCATTGGATATAACAATATGTAAAATTAGATAATATAAGTAACACTATACTTAAACTCATTAGTTGACGAATTGAGTGACGAATTGAGTGACGAATTGAGACAGGTATATTTATATTATTCTTAAATCAGTAATACATTGTTACATTTTAAAATAATATTGAGTGATGGTCGGATTATTTTTTAATAATCACCTTATTTTACGTTTCTTTGCCCGCTATATTAAGGTTTTTTGTGAAAATTATTTCCATAGAATCGTCTATGTTTAATAATTATACAATGTATAGAAGTACCGAAAAAATATTTTTTTAGCAAACATTATTTTGGTCAAACTAAAATTTGACAGGAAACTAGAGAACTATATAGAATCAATTGATTTAAGTATATTTTTCTTGTGTACTACGTGGTAGAAGAAAATTTATGGAAATCATACACTGAAACTAAGATTACAATTAATTTTAAAACAATTACTTTCTCCACATTACAACTTTCTAGACTTAAATGTTACACGAGTAGATGGTATAGATAGAATAGTAAATTAGTAAATTACCTACCTATATGTATTTATCATGTCAACAAATTTATTTTATACCCGTTCATCGTTCATCAAACTATAAACAAATCGCTTCATTGCATTTTTTTCATTTTATATGTCAAACTGAAATCGAATAAGTAACTTAATACTACATTTGCAAGGAATTTTAGTTCTTTTTTATATTATAAAAATAATTGTCAACATTTGAAATGTGTTTTCAATAGTTATAACCAGTTGAAGGTAACAATAAACTAATAGTAGGTAATTGTTTATTTAATATAGGTGCCTGCAAGTTTAAACATTGAAACAATCTTCATACAGCATAGTATTAACTATAGTATTAACACTTATTGATGATGTTAGTTTTAAAACAGTCTATATTTATCTAAATTGAACAGCTTAGCTATAAAATGAACAGAGTGGTTAAGCCATAAAATTGTATGATGGATATAAACAGATAATGTTCCCGACATAATATATCATAAATACACACAATTATTATGTTTATGTGTGTAAAATATTTAACTGACTACAAAAAAAGTTCAACAAAAAACTAACAATATTAAAAATCGAACTGTTATAGACTGTTTAGTGTTATATATATATATATCAAAATATTATCCCAAAATATAATATATTACAAAATTATWTTTAGRTATCTATATGTACATTTTGGTTTGAAAGTAGGTATATAATAGCAAAGTACACGTCATATTAAATACTTATGCATGTAAATATAAAACAGCACTATTGTACCTAATCTACATACATAATTTGTACCTACTGTTAATTGTAACAAATAAAGGATGATTAGTTCTAAAAATGTATGAAATTCCAGTACTAAAATATTTGTAATAAATCGCTTTTAATGGGAATTATTGAAGAAACAATCTTAAAACAATGCACAGAAACGAACACTAAATTTCAAAAACTGTCAATATAATCACGATTATAATATCGTTGTAGTACTTTAAAACTGGGGTACAGCTATAGAAACTATATTATCGAAATATTATCAAATATAGGTATATCGCCAATATTTTGCACTGACAATGGCTCGAAATTAGAATTTACGCATATACGTGACAATAATTTAACGCACGCTACCTAAAACGTAATATTCCAATTCCTACCTGAACGGTTTAACCTATATAATTGGGTTGAGGTTTGTAAAGATTTACATAATAAAACGATAAGAGAAGGATATAGGTGGAAAGTGGCCGGGTTAGCAGGACAATAAATAATTCACCGACAACAGATGATGACCCTATTAATACGTAAAGTTTGAAACGTTTAAGGATGACCAAGTTGGTTGGAAAGTGCGGAGCAGTGTTAAAAGTTATATGACCATCATCGCATAATAAACAACAAAAGAAAAGCGAGGACCATGTGTTTTCATTAGCGCGGTGCAGCGGACACGTACGCCAGTGTTGTAGAAACACTACTGCAATGGGTATTATTAATATTATAATCGGATACAATGCTCTCTTACAATACGSGATATTACACTGCACACACTGAGATAACAGCTTTGTATTGTTCCGTAGAAATTTACAACGATAAGCCGAGCTTTTTAAACGGCAATGACACCAACCCTCAAGTATGCTCACGTGTGTATATAATAATATTTTATATTATACATAATGCGCGCCGTGTACAGTGCACGCGTATATTGTATACCCATCCCCTCACGCGTGGTCAAAAGTTACCCTCAAAAGTCTAAGGTAATAACTAATAACGACATGTAACTGTTGGCAAACTGTCACCAAAATCCCTCCATTCACTCTTACTTCTCATTATACCTTTAAATTATTGAGAAGTTAGTTTTCCTCGACGACCTATTATATACGGAGAGGTTCTGTTGAAAACTTTTCAATGGTTGCGACAACGACGATAGTTAATCTTCACGCAACACTTAAGTCCAATACTTTTGTCTCGCATCCGTAGCTCATTAGTGAGAAACTTAACAGGAAAAAATTGACAAGTCAGAAAATAGTAAATCATGGCGAAAAATTATCATGATTTTAAAAATATAAAAAAATGGTTAACCAGATACTGGGTATTTGTCATTAGTGTCTCTTCGTTCCGTTATAAGAAAGTGATGCATTTTATTATTATTATTATTATTTTTTTTTTTTTTTTTAATTTAAAATCTTTAATAAATCATCATAAATTGCATTTCGAAAGCAATAAAAATCTAAGCAAAGCCAAGTTTATAACATGATTTATATTTCAAAGTAAGTATTTTAATAAAAAAATATGAACTTTTGTCTGCAGTATAAGCATAACGATACAATTAATTTTATTTAAAATGAGTTTKGTGTAACTTTCACAATATTTTCACTGTTTTTTTTTCATCTCTTAAAACCTTCTATGATATTCCAAAAATCCCTTTTTAATCATCTGACTATAGTTTCAATTCAAATCGAAAAGGGACTAAATAAATATTTTTTTTTAACATGCAATAGATAGCTTTTAACAAATTCATACACATATAGGTCAAGCGACTTGATAACTGAAAGCAATAAAAAATCATTGTATTCAAAATAAATTCTTAGCTGTCTCCTGTCTAGACGTTTAAAATAATCTTAACACACATTATTTTACTTATAAATCTTCTACTTTTTGGAAATTTTCAAAATGTATCAAACTTTCAAAAAAAAAACAAATTGTTAAAATAGATAATATTTATTTTTAATTTAATAATCTAAAGATATCGAGCCAGAGTGTGAAACTTTGTAAGCTACTTTAAAACCTTCTTATCTTAGTAAAACTGTATCTATAAAAAAATAACCACACATTATAAAATCAATAGCTTCTTCAGTTCTTATATTACTTGGAATATAAAGTAATAAAATAATATCTACTTTAATAATAGGAATATATACTAGTTAATAGCTATAAAAACTATTCGATGAAAATATAACTTTATTAAACATAATATAGAGACATAACGAACAATATTGAGCAACCCTTTCAAACGTTGAGCATATAATATGTGTATGTTTGTCACACAACAAGTCTGCAAACAACTAGTTTATTGTAGAAATTTTGGGGAAAACATTATATAGCTATCAACAATAATTATTTGCATGCATTCTAGTTATTATATCATATGATTATGAAGGTAATAATATTCTGCAATTTCGCAAAAATAAAAAACTAAATAAAGCACCTTCACTTTTACTAAAGTAATTAAAACTAGAACGGTACCATAAAGTACATGAAGGTTGGTTCACTTAATACATATCATAGAATGCTGACATTATCAGTTAATATGTAAAGTTACACAAGTATAAAAACATAAGAGATACGAAAAAAATGATTTTTAAAGTTTTATTTCATCGTTTATATAAAAATATTAATAAGGTAAAGTTATTTTTAACTTGAATATATTATTCTATTTTTAATAATAGGGCAAAGGTCACCGAATGGTGGCCCGTAGACAAATTTTATCTGACCCACAGACAAAAAAATAAAGCTTTTTATGGTAAATTAAATGAGGTTTTCATTAGTCTTTATTTTATTTTTTAAATGGCATGTGCATAACTAATTTTTTTAGTGAGTATGAAGTTGAATTATCATACTGTTATATTTTTAGAAAATATATTGATAATATTTGGTTAAACAAAAAAAAAGTAAAATTGTTGTTTTTTGTGTATAATGAAATTTGCCCGATAGGTATATTAAAAACGATCTGTCCTAAAATACGTTATCTAACTCAAGTGCTACAATAATGGTGAATGATGTAATTAATTAAATGATATTCAGTTTAAACACTATTGCATGAATAACTCCAAACATTGTGTGAACACAGAACCATGCCCAACATATTGATTATTGAACCATTCGAAAGACTTAAAAAAAAACAGTTCAGTAATTTATTCATAAACGTCATAGCCACATAGGTATCATCATATGGCATACATTATTATTACATTATTAGATCCGCAACTATGATTACATTAAAACAATAAGTTATAACTTGTTTTTTCTTTAATTATTATTATAATTTAAATAAAATAATAAAATATTGAACTAGCTCAGTGTGATTCAAATGTTACTATTAGGACATCCCTATTTAAATTTAAAAATAATGAGCCTTATACCTCACATTTCATTCAGGCCATTTATTTTGGTAGATAATCGTCAATTCAACTTAAAACAAATTACTTATTCAATATTTGAAACAGATATGGTTAAAAATGGATGATTTTTTTTATCCAAAATTGTTTGAAATTTATTCAACCACTATCTTTTTTGAGTTTTTTCAATATCCAATCCATATTATGATCGTTTAAATATAACTAACTGATAACATATAGGAGCGTTTACTTCAAAACTTTTGGAACATTCTTTCTACACAAACAAACTATATATTATATATAAATAAAAATCTAATACTATATTACCTATGTTAAAAATCTAAAATTAATTTTTCTTGATTGTTTTAGGTAATGTTTGGGGTCATACAGAGGTATGCCTCATGGTTGCCCGTGGATGGTACCACTATTTAGATGGGCCTTATTGTCTGGTTGCGTAGCCAGACCGCTGAGTTCCGATACCAAAATGACCGATGTTGTCGCACAAAACATGACAAAAGGTAATTCACTGGTAAACAATATAAAGCCATTTTGAAACATCGTATTGTGGATAATGGCAGTTTTTTAACAACAAACTCTACAAACCCTAATCAAATATTCAAACACACATTCTCTAAAATGTGTCACACACTCACACTTAATCCGAGGAGAATGCGATACACAACGCAACAACTCGCATGAACAATAAATTGTTCAATATAATACTATTATAATATACAATAATGCATAACATCTAATTCTGAGCATCATATTTAATTCACTAATAATTCTATATACTTGAATACTTATTAGTAATTTATGTTTGACTATCGTTAGTCATTACTTATTTTAAACAGTTCAAATTGTTTTCCTTAGCCATTTTTAATATGTTTTATCACGATTAAAATATATCAGTTTAGTTAAAGTAACTTTAAAATGTCACCTTATTATATATTGTATAGTAGGTAAGAAAAAGAACAATGATAATAAATACGCACATAATTTCAGATAAAAAACGCATTCATTGATTAGAAGTATTAAATCAGGATTTTAATTAGTAATAATTTAATTACGACTTAACATAGTTGAGCATTATACAAACTAACTACAAAACTATTTTTAAATATCATAAAATTTAAAAGTACAAATACTACACTTATGATGAAGATTGTAAACCTGTCAAATGCAATAAACTTATAATATTACCTACTCCAGGTAAACCAAAGCAAAATATGATAAAATAATTAATATGAAAATAGTTTTAATTTAATCACAAATTTAAATTAATTCGTTTATTTGTTTTTGCAAAAAAAAAAAAGGTGCATTCTTAAACACAGAACTATATTTCAACTTAAATTGACTATGTTACACGAAAATTCTGACACAACAGTCTCACTAGGTACCCTAAAAGTTTATTTTCTTGAGATCAAAAGTCAAAACCCATTGTTTTTAAACCAATTTTTCTCGGGTCTAAGAATCTTAAGACAGACACAAAACATAAAACAATGCTTGTAAAACATATTATATATTTGTAGAAATATACAATTATATGTAATTTTCCACCCAAAAATAATTTAATATTTAAAGTTATATAGTAAAGGTCAATGTAATAATAGTTTTAAATTATAAAGTTTAATTTAAAACAAATGCTAGAGTAAATATTTTTAACTAGTATTTCAATCAATAAATCATAACATTCTCGTCGAAATCTAAACGCCAAACATTATCTTAAATTTATAGTCTATCGTTGGTTTTAAAAACAATAATAAAATTAATATTTAAATACGATGAAATATTTATTGTTATTATTTGTTGTACTGTGGTTTTGATGAAAACGGAGCACAGTGTGTGTCACATATATTTCTGTGTGGAAATATTTTAATATAACTTAATAGTCTTTATAATTGTTTTGAGATTCATCCTTTAATTTAGGTTGTAAAATAAAAAAAGAGAAACACAAAATAAGACTCTAAGTATGATCAGGAGTCATTAAAGCAATTATCCTTAAAACATATTGTTAAAGCTTAGTGCTTACAATACTAACAATACATATATTGAAAATTAACAAAATAATTTTCTTAGCACAGCAAAAAATACCTCAATTTACTGCACTAATTTAATTTCGAAAATTGACTATTGAATAGAAAACATTAAACTTGCCAATTTAAGTGCAATCAGTTATAAAAAGAAAAACAGTAAAAATATTTTTTTTCAAAACTTATAATGATCGTCTAAATCTATTATAACAACTGAGTTAATGATAAAAAACGTCACGTAGGTGCCAATATTTTTATTAATTATTTTCTTTTTAATTATTATAATAATTATTATGGTATATAAATTTTCTTTTTTTACACTAATATTTGATGGATCACATCGTTAGGTTTTCTGAAAACGTTTTATTAATAATACATTGTCAGATTTTTTTAGTTACTCACAATTTATAGGTACTTGAATTTTAACAATTTATATACAAAAGTTTACACCCTTCACACAACTTAACTAATATTATGTTTTATTAAAAGATATGGTGTGTAACTATTTGATTTTAATAGGAATTAATAAACTTATGTATAAATTTAAAAAAAATAGGCTGTAACCAATATGTGATAAACTAGCTGATAATATTATAGTATCACATTTTTATAGCAAAATAAAATAGACTACCTATACTATTATCTATACTGTATATTTTCTTCAAATCTAATTTAAATATCAAGTAGCCAATTTGAATAATAGCCAAACACATACAATGCGTCGTACGTGTTGGATAGATATGTGTGTGTATAAAGTTATAATCATGAGTCAATACCTGCTCCGGCCCGATACAGTTTATTTAAAAGTATACAAATAGAAAATAAATAAATGATAACAATAATAAATTTCCACAATAACGTATAGAATACAGATTGATATTAAATTATAGTTGATACGAAAACGTATATCATTTAAATTATAATGATCTTACATTCATTTCATAGATTGCTTTAATTATTTCAGAAAATTTAACTTGCTACACTTGCGTAAACGTGTCGGACAATTTGACATGCAACCAATATGCCATTGATAAGCCATGTGCTCGAGGTATGTATCAGTTTTAAATTTAAACTTCAGTGGAAGTAATTTATGTATCCGTAGATCTAGACTACTGTCAGACGTTACACATAATGGATTCAACTGGATCTAGTGTTATTGTGAACAAAAAATGTGCTAACCGAACAGAATGTCATCCGTCCACTGTCGGTTGTCTAAGCATTGACAGACAGACTGTAAGTTACATAATATAATGTTTAGACATAGTACTAAAGTAATAGTTAAGTGGTATTATCAAGTGCGCCATCGTTGTGTAATATTTTTATTTTTTATGTATACTTTTAATTATTAAAGAATAAACAAAAAATTTAAGAAGATGGAAAACATTAAATGGGTATAGTGCAGTTCTATAGGCTTATAGAAATATACTAAACGGCTGTTTAGCCAGGTRAAGAATTAGAGCCAACCCGTATCCTTAACCGTTCCTTACTTATTTCATATAATATAGTTATTTGCAGTAATTAAAATTGCGTAATTTATTATTAGTATTCTGTTTAATTCAGCGATAATCAAAATTAAAGTTGACGAATTTGATAATTATTGTTTGTGTTGGGAACTATCAATAACGAAATTCGAGCGATTATCATTCAATTTCGATTTCAATTGTCCATAAGTGGTGACGGATACATCAAACGCGATAATGAGAGGAGGGAGTCCCTCAATACCATTGCTGCTAACTTAATTGCAATAATTAATTRTATCGATTTAGTAATTAGTAACTTAAGTTTAGTACCCATCAGACTAATGTAATAATTATCTACCTAGGTACCTATAACGTAAACATTATTATATTGTCCATTTGTTAATGAAAAATAGATATGATGGATGTGTAGATACAATTAATGACCGGTAGACGGTAAATACTATAAATACAATAGCTATTACATGTACATTATGATTATTGACTTAAAATATTATTTGTACATTAATAAAATAGTCTATCGTTATTAATATAGTAAAGTATAAACAAGAGTAAAAGCCTAGACTATATATCGTACAATGACGTAGATTATAAAGGTATGTGTTGACAAAAATGGATATGGTGTGAACATATATAACGAATGATGAATGGAAACTGAGTGGGATACATTTGATTTAAAGATACAAAAATAATAATAAATCGATGTAATGTCAGGAGATAAAATAAAATGGAAAGGTAAGATGTTGTGGATGGGATTTATACATCAAATAGATGGCCGGAAGAAAAACAAAAAAACTCCATTGTGATTTTTGTCCATTGTTCATTTTAATCAATCACTATTCAGTATTCACTATTATAATCGGTCTTTAAAGCCCGCTATCAGCTACATTCTTATTTTTAAAGCAATAATTTAACTAATAAAGTGCCACTAAAAATAACTTTTACATATTCATGTCAATCAAGAGTTCCCTTCTTGAAATTTTAAATCCACAATATGAAAATACTACAAACAAKAAATATAATATAAATAAAAAATGCATTTYAATTATAATACACATTGTAAAAATAATTGCATTATTAACTATCTATGGGCTATTATTACTTTACCTGAAATATACATTTATTATAAATAAGTTGAAATAAAATAGGTATCTACCTACACAATTTATTAAGTCCATATAATACTATGTCTAWATACTTCATATGATCATATAATTTTATATCTAGAAAATGTATACTTTATAAAAATGTCCAGAGTATACAACTTATAATATACTGCACGTCATTTTGTATGCCAGGTATATATTAGGTATATAATATTATTACTCTGCCTTATTTTTGTCTTAAATACGACTATACATCGACTAGTCAACTCTGTTTACAAGTATTRAAGTATCTTTCTATATTTTCATAAATTTCATTAAAATGATGTCCTAGTGCATAAACATGGGTATTTTGTACAAATAAAACCAATATTCGTTATAAAATATATTACAGTACCTATACGTAGGTACTTAATGATGTATATACTTGAAAATGACACAGGCATGACCTCGTGGAGTGCAAGACCATACACTTAAATGTTCTGACATTTTTATAGGACGTTGTAATATGTATAGTATCATTTTTCTAAACGGTCACTCAAAGGGTTTGGGGTAGTGGGTAGTTTTCAACGTATATACGCAAAGACGACACGTRGCGACTATCGGTTACAAACTAGTTACCTTCAATGTATACCAGTAGTATTATTCTTTAATTATTTATTTACATTTTCTGTTTAATTTTACTATGTGTGTTTTGAACAAGAAGTATATAAGTACCAAYCACTTCATTTTAGTAAAAGTACAAAATTTCCTACTAAAGAACAACAAGCTGTGTGTAATGGCAAGAATAACGAGTGATCTTTTAGGAATAGATTTATACTTATTGGGTATTATTATTTAAAGCATTGCAAACAAAGATCTTTTAATTTTTTYTGCTACTGAAATTGAACAAAATTTCACCTATGTSACCAAAACCATAACCCTTCAACGTTAAATTAATGTAATAACAATGATTTTAATCAAAACTTTGAATAATACACACCTATCATATAAACACAATACACACAATGATTATTGTTCACAGGTATGCGTATCCTGTTGCGATGACATGTACTGCAACATGACCGTGCCAACAAACCAAACGAATGCAGTGATAACAGTCACACGGAAACGTCACATGAATCCTACCAAAGGGCCGAAAACAAAGTCTGCTGGTGACGTCCCGTGCACTCAACTGACGGTTTCATCATATTTATTGTTGTTTCTTATGTTATTGACCACAATTTTGCAATGCTAGATCGTTAAACATTTATATAAAATATTATATCTTAACCGTTACCTCAATAATAATTATATTATATATGTAGTTGAGTTTAGATTTAGCTGTTGTATAGGTTATACACAAACACAATACAAACAAACTTTAAACTTTTGTAGTTATTAATCATTTGAACTACAGCAAGTTTACACCTGTGTATAGCCTATTCACAGTTAAACACCAACAGATAATATTCGGTGGAAACATTAAGACTTTAAATGTAGGTGGGCAGAGCGAAACAGGATGATCAAAAATACATTATTTGAAAACTAAAAGTGTAATAATTTCTTTTTATCTGAATATTAAACTTGAACCGTGGTAAAAAAMTTTTAGAATCTAAACTGAAAAAATAATAATTATAAAAATAATGGATAGGTTACGCTGCACAATATATCATAGTAGGTAGGTACGGGTAAATTGTTTTATGAGAAAGGTCTATAAGTCCCATAGGAATCAAAGTAATCAATAGTTTTGATATAAGTTAAATTACCATTTAAATATAACAAAAAATATTAAGAAAAAATGTATTCATAAAGTTTTTATAAAAAAAAAATATTCATAGAAACCCCATCCATAAGGCTTATTTTCTTGCTCTGTCCTCTATTCAATATATGAACAAAATAAAGTCGGTAATTTTGTTTACTTATTTGAAAATGAAAATGTTTTTAATCGAACTAAGTTTCGTGTTTTTTTAACCTTCTTGTTATAACATAAAATAAACGATACTATATAATAAACTTATCTTTTTTTAAATTTATTTCAATACAGGACCCGTATTTTACAAGTACCTACAATACCTACAATAATCCTAATAGATATAAAACTTGTGATGAGAAAAAACGAGTTAACATGGTTAATTTGGTAATCAACGTCGAAATCAAAAAAATTAATATAAATAAATAATGCAACAATTGAATTTAACTATCTACCCCTAAAATGATTATTACAATAATATGTACCTATTTATAGCATAAGGATGTTATCATTCTGCTCAATTTCTTTGCCGCGAAAGAATAGATTCACAAAATTTTAAATTTAAGACATGACAAAATTATTGCATTAAAAAAAAAAAAAAAAACAACAAACTGCTCGTATTTTAGAAAATTATTATGTTTCATAAGAGAATCACCGCTTAAAGTTATCATAATTTATTGTATAGTAGTTTGCTTTTATCTAAACTTTAAATAATTTTTGTTGATAAAATTATATTTCTCAAAAATTAGTGTTATCCAATATCAATTGATGAAAATATAATTTTATAATTATTCAAAAAGTTGTATTTCTAATTTCCACCAATTATTTAAATAAATATGTAAGTCATAGATTTTAGGCCACAGGTAGTAAAATACAGATATTATTATTATAACGTACAATAGTTGGCAAGGAATTTTGGTAAAATAATATTATTATTACGTATCAACGAAGAAAAACAAAGAGAGAGACACCCTGTATAAGTATATAATATTATATCAACGAACAAGCGATTTTACAAAAACTTACACCATGATGATAATAGCTAATCCTGCAATTAATAATGTGGTATACCTATCCAACAGATGCTATTAACGTACGATTTAGTGCCCCTTAACTTTAAAGGGTTATAAATAATAAAGCTAAATAGTTTCATTATGTAAGGTAGGTTGTTATATTCTTGCATGTATTAAAGCAGATTTTAGAACTATACAGTAGAGTTATGACGTTACGTTTCTATAACTTGTAAGTTAGAATATTAAATAATGAGGTCGACGACAAAATGTCACGATAAAATGGCTGTAGCCCCAAGAGAATGTTGACCCAAATCACACATGTAGATATATATATATTATGTATGAACAAGCAACTATATCATGTGTAAATTAATTTTTCCAAAGTGTGAATTCCAGTACACAACATTGAACATGATGCAGACCATTCTCACGGAGGAACAGTGCAGTTATATTCGTCTGATTAAATGTTTAACGACGAGGCTATGACAAATCGGCGTTATTACGTAGGTACCTATAATATAGCATAAGTAACAATAWTATTATAATGGGAAAAAATAAATGATGAGTTTCTACACTTCATTAGGTAATAAAAAAAATCATGCAACGTTGCGATATATCAAAACATACAACATTATGGAAACATGGATTATATTATTAGACTATAATTATTTTCCAATATTGTTAAACAAGTTWAAATAATCTGAAATAGATTTTAATAATAATAATATATAACCTTAAAATATATATAGTTCGAATCGTGTCACCACGGCCGCCGGTGCCCGCTGGCCAGTCATCGATCAAGTGACGCGTAATAATAATATAAGCCTGTTAAAGGAAAAAAAAACAACATCAAAAAAACTACCATCGCGATAATAATTTATTTCATTACTGTCAATGTTTGTCTACACGAAATTAAACCCTTGCTAGTGCGAAGCATGGCGGACAAAGGCCTCTGGCGTATTGTACGGTCGAAACGCGTCTTGACAGGTCTGTCTACGCATAATCAAATCGGACGAAAAACTTATTGGGCAGACACCTACTCGCAGGGTTCGGAGATCGCCGTAAGAAGTAAAACCATTTGACATCACGACACCGCTGAGAGACGTTCGTCGGAGTCGCTCGGAATTATTAATAATTAACATCACTAAAATAGTAAAATGACAATATTCCCTAACAAAATTACGCGATCGCTGCAGCACGCGGAATTGTTGAGTGTGCGCTAGTTGTTCTATTATAGGCACCACATCGGTCGTGAGTATAATATAATATTAATCTAGTGGGGGTATCTCATGGTATTTATTATAATAATAATCAAATGTATTTATTTTCAACAAACGTTTCAATAATTAATACCAAAAATGGTTTTGATGTTTTGAATATTAAATATTGCTGAGCACACCTTCGCAAAATCAAAATGTGTACGATATAGGTCAGGTCAATATTTATATATAATATAAATACAATAGAATTGATCGTGTATTGGACCCTTGGCGTTCAGGTTTTATTGGAATAAATTTAACAAAGGTCAACAAAAATTACCATCGGAATATATTTTGTGCTGTGATATTACTTAATATTATTTGGACCTATCGGGTATTTTAGCACTTATGCTGCTTTTCGATTCCTTCTCAAATCACAACGAATAAAATATTTGCGCAACCGTGCTCATAATTTCATAAATGTTTTGGTTACAATATGCTAATCATGGGTTGCGGGTTGGCACACTCGGGAGTATAAAAAATTAAGCCATATATTATAATTTCATATTTGTTTTTTCTGACGTTAGGTATGCTTTATAATTTTAAGTTAAAATTATATTTAAAAAGTATAATAGAGCAGTGGTGTGCAACCTGGGGGTGTCGACATTTTAAAAGAGCGTCACCAATAAGGCAATAATTAATGATTATTGCATATATAATATATAGATACATTATTGTCAAGTAATAGATACATAATATCATTATAATATATTTATGTAATATAATATAAGTAGGACAACCTCATCGAAACGAATAATTTTAGGGGTGTTGATGGATCAAAAAAATTTGCGCACCACTGTTGAATGAACGATATCTCTGTCAAAATAGACGCCAGTATATCAAGTAAATAATATGTAAATCGTTCCAATTGTATACACTATACACTATTGAACTGTTATTAAACTCCAGCCGGTTGTTAAAATTGATAGGTAGGTCATAAAATCAGAACGTAAGTCTATAAAATGCCATGTTAGGTCTTAAGTACTTAATTTTCGTGATAGAATGTAGTCTAGTAGCTTCAACACTGTTTCACTGTGATATGATAGGTATATTATATAGGTAATCATTGATTAACTACTAAATAAGATATCACCAAATACTGTTATTCTGTGCTAATATTCTTGACTATTTCAGAGTTATAACCAATGTGTAAACGCAACTCATACTACATTTTGCCAATTAACCATTAACTTCAAACATATTTTGTCACGTTTTAACTTAATATTTTATACTAACAGTTATCAGTTTCATCATCTTACATGAGCGATACATTTTTTCATTCATTTATATTGGCATTCGTTAACATTACTGCACATTTTTTTTGATTTTAAGTAAGATGACAAACAAAACTCAATATTATTTATGTAAATATTACAGTGTTTAAAAAGTGCTTTAAAAATAAAATTCGTACATATTCCTATTATTGGTGCTTAAAAATAACACAAGTACTCTTGTTTGTATTCCTCAAGTGAAGAATTGGACTATAGTCAATTTCCACGTTCCGCCAAAGGAAAAGTGTTCGTAGCTTTTATTTAATTACATATATTTATATATAATACCAGCATTCAAAATACACTAAATCAGTAGGATATATTTCTTTGAACTCAGTTTTTCGGAAAATCGACATTTTGGTACGTTATGGGTATTAAAATTATCAAACATTTAACAAAGGAAAGCTTTCGTAAAAAACCATTACAAGGGATTTAATTTCAAAAGCACAGCTTAAATCTGTTATTAGTATTTTACCTACATAACAAATGGATATTTAAAATAATTAAATATCCAGCAGGTACAAAATTTAATGCGTTTACCTATTTGTATGCGTTTGCGCATTAGAATTTAGAAGTAGAGCAACGTATACAATTCTCATATTCTGCAGTATAATATAATCATTATAATTGATTTAACATTATTMATTTTTAATTGATAACAGTTCGTCAAGTTTTTTTTATAATAAATGACATTTTTAWTTTATTTTTATTTTTAATAAGATACATTCCTGGGCTCAAAACAAAAAGTAATATATAATTGTAGTATACAACAAATTAAAATGAGTGAATAACAAATATAAAAATGAAATTAACAACTAATAGTGTTTGAAATAATATTAACCAAGACCCAGTTTCGAAGTTTCATCCGTTCAACGCTCGGTAATTCACCGAGTATATTACCGGTGCATATCTAAGTATATTCACCAAATTTAAAAAAA